TTTTTGAGGTTTGAGATCCTTGGGTTTCATTACTTTGGTTCTTATATGTTGTGTTCTTTTGGATGATTCGTGTAACATTTTTTTAATCAAGATAAGGCTCAATTTTACCATCAATTGCTCAACCGACTTGACAAGATCGGATGAAAAAAAACTCACCCACTTCTAATCGGATTATGATTTGAAACCTGTTTGGGAATTATGGTTTGAATGAGAGTGAAAAAAAATTTGAATTGACTCGACCCTTTAGCTCTTTGGGGTGGGTGTGTGAATGAACTCTTTAGGGTGGGTGTGTAAAAACTAAAATTTTAAAATCCGTTTTGGAATTATAATTTTTAATTAAAAAATTAAAAATCACTATAAAATATTGTATCATTTTTTTATAGATATTTTTTTTTTTGTAAAAACTTATAAAATTAACTAAGTTAGCAATTTTCAAATAGAGCCTAAATACAGTTGAGAAGAGTTTTATTGGAAAAATGCCTATAACTTGAAATGTGTACCTGTTCATTTTATTAATTATTGTTCAGGCTGAGCATAGTTTTTAATTATTGTTTTACAAACGTCATAATTTTAGGGGGGATGTAGAAATTTGGATTACTTGAAGAACTGACCCGATCAACAGAATACGATGGGGCCGGTTTCGATCACTCGACTGTGGTTGAGATTGATGAATTTAATTCTTATTTTCAGACAAATATTGAATTTAATATATAAAAATCCATATAATCGACCCAATCAACATATTCATATGCTTACAACTTGAAACATGTGTGTTTATTTTCTTAATTAATAACTTGAATTCATCTTTAAAAAATTGTCACTAAAGGACTCCAAAGAATCAATTAGAACCTGTTTTTGAGGTTTGAGATCATTGGGTTTCATTACTTTGGTTCTTTTATGTTGTGTGCTTTTGGATGATTCGTGGAGCATTTTTCATTTCAAAAAGCTTTGGTGAGTTGATCTAACCAATTTGGTATGTTTACACTTGAAATTAAAATTACTCTTTTGTTGTTCTTATTGCAATAATGCTCTACAAATTTTTCTACATTTTAGGAACATCAAAGGACTCCAAAGAAGCAATTAGAACCTGTTTTTGAGATTTGAGATCCTTGGGTTTCATTACTTTGGTTCTTCTATGTTGTGTGCTTTTGGCTGATTCATGTAACATTTTTCATTTCAAATAGCTTTGGGGAGTTAGTCTAACCAATTTCTTATGTTTACACTTGAAATTGAAATTACATTTTTGTTGTTCTTATTGCAATAATGCTCTATAAATTATTCTACATTTCACGCCCTTAATACACTTGGTAGTACCAAGAGTAAATAAAAGGGTTCTTCGTATCATAGATAGAATATGGGCTATCATTTTGATAGCAATTTGGTAGAATATCACATAACACTTTATTAGTTTACATCACCATAAATTAACTGTGGTTTCAAGATCTTAAGGAATTTAATTGGGTGCATGAATATTATATAGATATGTTTTGCGTGAACCCTTCATTATGGTCTTGCTTTGTAAGTTATTCATGTATAGGTATGGTTTGGCTTATCGCTGTTCATTATATATATACGACAATGTTACGTAGCTCAAATTTTGTGGCTCAAAAGTGGCTCAAATGGCCAAAACGACGTCGTTTTGAGTACAGAACAACATAAAAATGGCCAAAATGACGTCGTTTTGGCCATTTGAGCCACTTTTGAGCCACAAAATTTGAGCTACGAGACATTTTCCATATATATATATGCATGGTTTGTCTATGACATTTTTCTGCTTCTTTTTTTTTTTCATTACCAAGTGTCTCATTTGTCTGTAACATATATCAAGTTTTTCTATATCTTGATATAGTGACTTATTAATGCTTAATAATTAATTACTGAAATGATTATCAGTTTCAATTGTGTTTTTAATTGAATTATAAGATAGGCGATAAATTTATCTTATTCCATTCCTCCAATTCAAAACAGTAGGTATGGTTTAGCCAAGGTATTTTTTTAGTTTTTTCCCAATACGTATAGTTTGTTCCATTGTTTGTTTGTTTTATTTTTTATTATGAACTTGAGGTTGTTTGTTCCATTTTTTTGAGAATGTTCCATTGTATTTTCAATGTGTTGAGATTGTAGAGCACTTATTGATGTGCTTTATTATATAGAATTAGTAATTTTATTTTTCTTTTTATTATAGATTTAGTATACAATAACTTTAATTTATGTTTTTTGTTCAGTGTTTACAATTTTTTTTTATTTGCTCTTATACTTTGATTTGCAATATTGGTGAACATTATAAATCTTTGTTAATTTGCATGAAGATTAACGGAGTTGTTATTTTATTTGAGTTTTGTAGAGCATGTAATACAAGTAAAATTATTACAAATTCTTTAAGAAGAAAAATATTTCAATACATTTTTATAAGTACATTTTAATCTTAATATTATTTACACTGTACCTTTAAACACGGGCATACGCTAGTTTATGTACAAAGAGAGAGAGATAAAGACGTTCAATGTGTATGAAAGTAGTAAAATTTGATATGTACTTTAAGTGGTATAAACTATGATGAGAACAAAAAAATAACTTATGGAATGTCTAAACGTAAATTATTTCACATTTTATGATATAAATTATGTTACGTAAAAAGCTATTTTACTTTTTAGTCAACCAAACAACAAGAAATAGGTAAAATATTTTTTACAACAAAATAAACATAACTCAAATGTAAAGTATGTATTGTTTACTTATTTTTTTAATGTGTGATCAAAATCGGGCTCTAGAGACCGCCTTACTTACAACCTAAAATTTGGATAAAATATAGAGTTGTGCAAAATATCATCATAATTCGCTTGTTAACTGTGGGTTAGTTTGATTCATGGTTTAAAATTTAAAATTTACCTTTGAAATCGCTGTACTCCACCATCATTAATACATATATTTTTTGTTACTTCTAATGAAATATCAAAGTAAAAATCAATGTATGAGAAATTTGTTGTAAATTAGTATTATATATATATATATATATATAAATATTATGTAAAATTAATGTTATATATTATACAAATACTTAATAATTATTTAAGATTATTCTTTAATCAATTAACAAATTGAAATTGCCTAAACCGTTCAAATTGTAGTTTGATTATTTATTAATCTACTATTTACAATTTGATTTATAATTTTGTTTTCAAATCGTACGAAGCCACCCTGCAGACACTCCTAGTAAAATATATGAAAAGATGAGAAAGAGTAGAAAAGTGCATAAATATAGGGGCAATTTGCCATTTTTTAGAAGTATCCAAAATAGAGGGAGTGTGAATGTAATTTCAGAGAAACATAGTGAACTGTCAATGTAATTTATCCTTAAAATTACAGCAATGATTCATCCCACTAAAAATATCACCACTAATAGCACTAATGTATTAAAAAAGTAAAAAAAAAAAAAAAATACAACTCCAAGACCAAAACATCACAGTATTAATGGCGAGACCCACTGCCACCTAATTAGTGAGAGCACTAATTAGTGCTGCCAAGCATTTTTCTTAAAATTATATTGTAATGGTCAAACAATTTGGTGCACGTGTTCGCTAGGGTTGAGCCGCCCTAGTAACAGAAAAGTTATTTGGTGGTCCTATGGCATAAGTTAGGTGGTGCCCTGGAATATTATCATTGGTGAAGGAAATATGATTCACCATTAAGGAATAGTTTGAAAATTGATTATTTTAATTAATTTTTTAAAATTTTGTTGATGTATAAAAAAATAAAAAAAAGTATAATATGATAAGTTGTAGTAATTTTTTGAACTTTAGTTATTTTAGTCACTTCTCAAACAAAAACCTTAGCCTTTATTTGGAAATAATTTTTTTTAGTTTAATTTTTTTTGTTATTTTAGTTTGGTTAAAAAAATTTATTTGAGAAGAATTTTTGACTTTTTTTTATAATTTTATAAGAGAAAAAATAAAATAATTATTAACTTATTTTATCTTTTAATAGACTAAATTAATTTTAACTTACTTTCCAAACGAGACCTTATTATTGGTGATGACATTAAAGATATGTGAGAAGTGTTAGTTAATTCTTTTAATTTTTTACAAAATAAATGTATAAAATAACAGGAAAAACAATGTGATCAGGGAGTATGTGAGATTATCTAAATAAGCCTTCATTTGGCATGATGCTTTTTTGAAATTGGTGATTAATTTAGTCACCAAAAGATAAAATAGGTAAAAAAAAAAAATAGTAGAACAAATGCCACATTCAAACTATAATCCTTTTACTTTTTCTTTTATAAAAGTAAAAAAAATTAAAAAGTCCAACCTAAACAAACTTTTTAATCCCAAGTTAAAATAGTCAAAAAAATTAAAAATCTTCCCAAATGATATCTAACTATATTTTTTAACTTTTTACGAAAAAAATGAAAAATAAATAAATAAATAAATGATCTAAATAAATACATTTATATAAGTTATGTTAAATCTTTTACTTTTTCTTTTATAAAAGTAAAAAAAATTAAAAAGTCCAACCTAAACAAACTTTTTAATCCCAAGTTAAAATAGTCAAAAAAATTAAAAATCTTCCCAAATGATATCTAACTATATTTTTTAACTTTTTACGAAAAAAATAAAAAATAAATAAATAAATAAATGATCTAAATAAATACATTTATATAAGTTATGTCAAATATTTTCTAGATATTTTTTATTTTCTAAGTATTTTAACCACCAACGACGGAACCTTAGTGATTGGTAGAAGCATCCCAACGTCGTGGTCCAAAACACCTAATAATTTTTCCTAGAAATAATCTAAATTTGGGTATACTTCTCAAAGAGAGAAAAGTCCACAAATATCTGCTACGGCCGCCATCTGGTTCGGAAAGTTGTTTAGGGGTCTCGGAAAGTAGATTATAATCCTCTTCTCATATTACAATCAACATTCTACTCTCACAAAAAAAAATTATTTATAATCAAATTTTAGCCAATTTTTAATTAAAAAGTTAATTATAACCAATTTCTCAAAAAAAAAAACAAAAAACCTTTAGCTATAAAAAGATTATTCTCTCATCATCGCATCAACCCATTTATATGCAGCTCCTTTAGCTCTATCGTCTTTGGTTGACTTCTCTCTTTCTTTCTCTCTCTCTCTCTCTCTACACTATCTCTCTCAGGTATGCTGAAAAATCTCACGTTTCACCTTTATTTCATAGTTCTTCTCCTTTAATCTACGCTTAATTTTTACTTTTGTTGTAGCTAATGGATTTCCTAGGGCTTCTGAATTTGAATTTCTCTTATTTTTTTTCCTCTTATTTCATTCTAAAGTTGTTCTCACAGCATCTCCAATCCTTACTTTTCTTCAATCACTCTTTTCTTTTTCTTTTACATTTTTTTTAAAAATATATATATATATATATATATATTTTTAACAAATTTAAGCTTATCCTAAAAATCAATTTTAACCATTATTGATGAAAGAAAACCATTTTCAAATCTTTTTGGTGAATGAATTGGGCCAAAAAAATGCCCTTCCCTTGATTAATACATATTTGATGAATGGCTGGAGCACAGTTTTAGCAGTTTTTTTTCGTTAAATTTGAATTTGATGAAAAAATATTGATGGAGTATTGGAGATGCAATTAGTTATCATAAGATTGAATAAAGTTTTTTTTTTTTTTGGTAAAAAGTATGTATTTATGATCTGCCATGATTTTCCTGTTTTTAAGCTATACCCATGGTTGATTTTTTTTTGGGTTCAGCTTGTCTCGGGTTGAGATCAAGACTGGTCCCGTCCAGTCCGGCCGATAATCCGAACCGTTCAATGTGTAGAACTCATCGAGTACTATATTCCTATAAAAAATTATGTTGATCGATAGCTATTTGATTGGGTCAGAATTTTGTCAACCGTTTATTTTTTCATTGTTTATTTTTTTTAATACAAATATGATCCGATCAAATAGCTATTGATATCTGATTAACGTGAGATTCTACACATTAAACAGTTCGAATTATTGAAAAGGGACCCCAAAATGAGCCCATGGGCCGAACTGTCTCAACATTAGACAAGCTGAACCCTTTTTTTAAGATATTCAATAGAATTATGGTTTAAATTTATTTTTCTTTTATAATTTTTTTGGGTTTCCTTTCCTTTCGAATAAGTTATTATTGGCTGTAGTTAGATTTGAATTTAGAACTAGATGTAGAAAGTTTGTTATGTTTTGGAAATTAACCAATTTGAGTAAGAGTTATTGACTGTAAAGTTTGATTTCAATAGGGCTTTTGGGTAGGCAGATGGTCAATGGATCCACATTTCACAGAATTCTCTAATTCTATAAATGGATTCAAACCCGAAGATGATACCTTCTTACCCAATTTTGATCAGTCTGAAAATCTTGTAAACACTTTCAAGTTTAAAGATGATTCTGTAGATCTCAACTTCTTGGATCTTTCTTCCTTTTCCCCTGATCCTGAACTTGGTTATGTTGCTCCGACCTCTGGTAGAACCTCGGAAGCAGACTCCCCAGATGATAGCGACTTTAATGATAATGTTCTCAAGTACATAAATTCAATACTCAATGAAGAGAACATTGAACAGAAGCCCAGTATGTTCCATGATCCTTTGGCCCTACAAGCTACTGAGAAATCCTTGTATGCCGTTATTGGTGAGAGGTACCCTGCTTCCCCCGACCAACCCCCTCTTTACTTCAACCAAAATGTCGAAAGCCCAAGTCATTATTTGTTTGGTAGTTCCAGTGAGCAGAGTACTAACAGCAATACTAGTGGTAGTAACTCCGTTGATTCATGGATTGTTGATCGTAGAGAGAATAAACCATCTGTACAAAGTGCTCCTTTGGGATACCCTTTTGAGTCGACTTTGCAGTGGAATGATGTTAATGGTCCAATGGACTCTTCTATGAGTGGCCGTGTGGTTTCAAACATATTTAGCAATCGCCAATCCATTTTGCAGTTCAATAGAGGGGTGGAAGAAGCTAATAGGTTCCTTCCTCCTAATAATCCATTGATTACTGATTTGGATAGCTATGCATTGCCTCCAGAGTCGAAGGAAGGGGCTTCCGAGGTTGTAGTCAAGGTGGAGAAGGATGAGAGGGAATCATCCTCACCTAATATCTCAAAGGGTAGGAAGCATCATCATCGAGAAGATAGTACTTTAGAAGAGGAGAGGAGTAGCAAGCAGTCAGCAGTTTTTATGGAAGAGGCTGAGTTAACCGAAATGTTTGATAAGGTTTTACTTTTTACTGGACAGAATACATGCTGTTATGGTGATGAAGTGCAAAGTGAAGCATCCAAGAGCTCGCAGCAGAACAAACAACCACATGGATCTAGTGGTGGAAAGAATCGTGCTAAGAAGGAGGGCAACAAAACGGAAGTGGTGGATTTGAGGACTCTTTTGATTAACTGCGCTCAATCTGTTGCTGCTGATGACCGCAGGATTGCATACGAACAACTAAAGCAGATTAGGCAGAACTGTTCTCCTTCTGGTGATGGGTTTCAGAGGTTGGCCCATATCTTTGCGAACAGTCTTGAGGCACGCTTGGCTGGCACTGCAAGCCAGATTTTGGGAGCCCTAGCTTCCAAGAGGATTTCAGCTGTTGAAAAGTTGAAAGCTTACCAGCTTTATTTTGCAGCTTGCCCATACAAGAAGATAGCACTAATCTTTGCAAATAAAATGATTTATGATGTAGCTATGAAATCAACCAAGAAAAAACTTCATATTGTTGATTTTGGCATCCTTTATGGTTTCCAGTGGCCCAGCTTCATCCAACATCTCTCAGCCCTACCTGGTGGACCCCCTGAACTTCGGATTACCGGGATAGAAAATCCAAAACCTGGTTTCCGTCCTGCAGAATTAGTTGAGGAGTCTGGGCGTCGCTTGGCAAAGTATTGTGAACGCTTTAATGTTCCATTTCAATACCATGCGATAGCACAAAAATGGGAAACTATCAAAATCGAGGACCTCAATTTATGCAGTGATGAGGTGCTTGCTGTGAATAGTCTCTTCAGGTTTAAGAACCTAATGGATGAGACAGTTATGGTTGACAATCCAAGGGATGCTGTTCTGAAGTTAATTAGGAAGATGAAACCGGACATTTTCATCTCTTCTATTATTAATGGGTCCTACAATGCCCCCTTCTTTGTCACTCGGTTTCGTGAGGCACTCTTCCACTACTCTTCATTGTTTGATATGTTTGACACTACTATGTCCCGTGAAGATCAGGGGAGGATGAATTATGAGGTGGGGTTCCTTGGGCGTGAGGTAATGAATGTAGTTGCCTGTGAGGGTTTGGAACGGGTTGAGAGGCCAGAGACATACAAGCAGTGGCAGGTTCGGAACATGAGGTCTGGTTTTAAGATCCTTCCATTGAAACAGGAGGTAATAAAGAAACTGAGAGGCAAGGTGAAGGAAGGGTACCACAAAGATTTTATGATCGATGACGATGGCCAATGGCTATTGCAGGGTTGGAAGGGTAGGATTTACTGTGCTAGCTCCTGTTGGGTACCTGCATAAGATATCTTCGAGACATGTTTGTTATAACTCTGCATTGGTCCCAAGGGAGTTGGCATGGATGTTTAAGAACACAGGCAAAGGTACTGTTTTCTTTAAGCTTCAATTACTTATCTCTCTCCTCTCATATACACAAACTAAAACCCAATATCGGTCACTCAAAGTGTACATAGCCATTTTTGAAAGAAATTCTAAAAGCCATTATCGATTGGTTATAGACATAAAGTGAAAATCAAAGGGCAAATTTGTTATGATTGAAACTCTAAGAACCAAATTGATACTAGTGAGAAAATTTGAGAACCTTGTGTAATTTTCCCAAAACCTGTGACCAAACCAATTAGATGGATTCTATCATATTAAAGTTTTTCAGATCTTTGCACGGGCCATATGCTAGGTAATGTTATACATGCTAAAAGATACACAAAAAAGTTTGATCCTTGTTGACAATTAGGCCCCTCTATCTGCTAATGCACAAGTGCTCACACACACAGCTGCATATGCTGGACTTTTCTTGGGAGTTCTATGTAAGTTTGATCCTTGTTGACAGTTAGGCCCCATTTAGGAATTGACTTTTTTGGTTGACTTTTTTATTTTTTCTGAAAAGACATACAAAAAAAATAAAGAAAGTAATGTGACAACTTATAGTAACATTTTGAGTTTTAATGTAATTTATCCCTGTGAGTCAAAAAGGAGCTGACATTTCTTGTTTCTTGCTTTCAGATCATATGCAGTAGGACCTGCCTTCTTGTAGAAGACGCTTATGGGCTATGAGGATAACACATCATGCACTAATTTTGTCAGATAATATTTAGGGGTACTCTAGTCAGTTTCGTGATGGAACCCTTACTGGTCGTGGTTTTGAAGAAATGTAATATAGATTCTAGACGTGGTTTAAAACTATGAACATAAAATTGGTCTCGTAGAGTAAAAAATAGCTCCTTATTGTGGACCGTCTTGTGTTGATGATAGCTATTATTCACTTTTACTCGTTGTTTGCTTGTCGAGTATGGAGGTTTTGTAGATTGATTTACTTTTGCTTCTTTCTTGTAAATTTCTCATTAACTAGTAGTTGTGTGTTTTGTTTGGTCAGATGTACAAATGAAGAAAGATTTTGAAATTGGGCAAACTTCACTTTACCCCCTATGGTTTGGGTCGGATGCAGATTATCCCCTGACATTCGGAAATCATCACATAACTCCCATGTGATTTGTGGACTAAAACGCACAGTTAGCTTTTCTGTTAAAGTGAAAGTCACGCGCTTGCAAGGAGAGTAACACTATTTTTAAAACGAAAATGCCCCTGGCACATCTTCAAATTTATAAACAATACCATCAGATCTGTAAATCTCTGCCCAAGAAAAAAAAAAAAAAAAAGAAAAGAAAAGAAAAGAAGAAGATGAAAGATGGTTTGATCTTCGTACTACCAAAATATTTTGAGTTTTTTACTGCCTAACTCCGGGCAATCTCATTCCTGGGCCACTCTTCAGTCAACTCCACCCTAACCTCCACAATCGACCATCCCAATAGATTCGGACAACCCTAATGTAGAGCCACCACCGCAAATTATATATATAATCTTACTGAATATGGTTTGAAATGTGTAGCTATATATATAATCTATATATATGTGTATGCAAATTATATAATATATATATATATATTGTAACGCCCTCAAAATAAAATCATAAATCATACAATCTTGACATGCTTAGACATAAGAGAGTAAAGTATAATTTCATTCATCAGAGTATTCATTACAAAAATATTACATGTTGACATCGAAAGTAAATGCCCCACGGGCTTACAACTTTTCAAGTTAACACTTGATTACAAGAATGAGAGTGCTAACTCTACATAAAATAAGCCATCGGTTTGATATACATGTAATACAACAAAAACAACAAAAAGAGTCTAACAGCCTCAAGTCTCCCAAGCTACGTCCTTGGAGGTGGCATAACACCTGTACCTGAAAATGATGTCCCATATAGGGTGAGCCAACGCCTAGTAGAGATATGCTAAACATAATATGAGCAAAAACTAAAACATTAGCATTTGATAAATGTTTAACTCACATAAAACAATTCATAATTCGTTTCAATTACATGACAAATATGTCCATGTTTCATTTCTCTTTCCTTTACTTAACCGATTCTCAATTCATAGACATGGCTCAGAACCTGGCCAAACAATTCTCATGAGACCACAACTCACATCAACAATACTTCCATAATTCACAATAGATACACATATTTGCTGTATTAATAACACATTTAAACCCTTCCACACTTCACAATAGATACACATATTTGCTATATCAACACTTCAATAGATACACATATTTACTGTATCAATGGAGTCCATCCCCTATCTCCTCCCAAATAATATCCGGTTTAGGAGTCCATCTCATATCTCCTCCTAAACCATGGAGTACATCCTCTATCTCCTCCCACACAACACAATGTATATAAACACATATCATATACATGATCAATCAATACATAAATTTAATGTATTATTCCAACCATCATATTCAATGGCATACAACCGATTAGTTTTAATTCGCCTAATTATCATGCAATGTCTACAACAATCAAGACTATCCTCCACCGATAGCCCAAAGCAATTATTTCTAAACAGACAATAATTATATCAACAGATAATTTAACAACAATTTCAAAGGTGAGTGATCAATGAATCCAACTCCACCATTCTACCTCATAATGAGCCAATTTCACTATTTCCACTCAATTTCATATTTCCAAAATAAATGTCATTAATTACACTAATGACCCAAATATACCCAAACATGGCATTTTTCCCCTTTCCTCAACATTGACCCAAATGTTCAAATATTACCAACAACATCAATAACCTCATTTTTAGACCCAAAACACAAATGTTTGAATCAAAAGAATAAAACCCCTCTTTCCAATATAACACATCTCAAACCCTAACTTCCCAAATCAAACCATTTATACAAAAAGCTCAACATTTAGGTTAAAGCTCATAAAAATGAGTAGTTATCCCTACCTCAAATTCGGAGCTCAAAGGAGGAAGATGAAGAAATTTGAAATGCTCCAAACCCCAATATTTTCCGATCAAAATGTAGCCCTCAGCAAGCTCCACACTTTTTACAAAGGCCCAAGGATAGAAGCTCACTCCTACTAGATCAAACCCTAGAGAGAAGTTGGAGTTTTAGAGTGAGGTGCTCTCCAATGGAGGTTTTGAAAAGTAAGAGAGAGAAAGAAAGTGTGAAAAGTGATTTAAAATCACCCAGCTGTAATCTGATATATGACTAGTCTGCTCGAGCGGAGAATAGGACGCTCGAGCGTCAAGCACAAAAACTGAACCCGCTCGAGCGCAAGAATACCCGCTTGAGCGTCAAGACACAACTGCAAAACACACCTGCTCGAGCGCAAAGGGAAACCCGCTCGAGCGTAAATTACACTCTTCCAGTACTTTTATAGACAAAGAACACCCGCTTGAGCGCAAGGGTACCCGCTCGAGCGTGAAAAACACATCTGCAGTACTTTTGCAGACGGACAAACTACTGAAGGTGTGCAAACTTCGCTCGAGCGCGAATGGATCCGCTCGAGCGGGCCACCAAAAATCTAGGCAACAAGAAATGGGACTAAAGCTCAACCAACCTGTTCGAAACACGCCCAAGACATTTCTAAACTCCAATCCAAAGCATTAAAGGACGGAAATGAAATACAGACAACCACAACTATCAACGGAACCGAGTCCGGAATACAGTAAATAAGGAAGGAAAAACAGGGATCGCTATATATATATATATATGTATATCAAAGCTAATTTTAATTCATCAAAAAAAAAATGATTATATCATCTATATATATATCAAATCCATATATATATATATATATATTTTGCATCTGTTGTATTAGGAATAGTTGGAAATAGGCTCTGTATATATATATATATATATATATAGTTGGCAATTCGCTTGGTGTATGTTGGTGTATGTCTAGCTTATTTTACATCTGATGTATTAGGAATAGGCTCTGTATATATAAAATATGTATGTAAGATGATGAAGATGAAATGGAGAGAGAGAGAGAGAGAGAGAGAGAGAGAGAGAGAGAGAGAGAGAAAGATGAATGAGGGTATAATTGTCAATTTACAACTTCTGTTAATAGAAGTTAGTGTGCGTTTTAGTTCACAAATCACATGGGGGTTATGTGGTAATTTCCAAATATCAATGAGATAATCCGCACCCATCCCAAACCATAGGGGGTAAAGTGAAGTTTGTCTTTTGAAATTTGGTGTTGTGTGCTTGACTCACGGTTCAGTTTTCATGTCATTGCGTACTAGTTCTTGAACAAAATGATGATGCTGATAGTTGTTCAACATCTCGAAACTTCTACACATCCTCTTCATGTCATTCGTTGCATGTACGTCAATGGGAATCATGTATTTGTGATTTTGTTGGAAAGATTCAAAACTTGATCTCATCATTGAACGGCTGGTTCTTCTTTTTTGGCTTCCTGTTATGTTATTGCTTTTGTTCTTGAAACTTTTAGAAAAAACTGGTCCAATTGTATTATTTTATCTTCGAGCTTTCAGTTAGAATATTTTCAGATCTGAACTTATAGATTCCCTTTGGTTGTACTTGGCAATATGTGTAATTAGGTCTTCTTCAATTCAGGATGTTGGAAACATATAATATCAATACAAAATTATGAATTTTATGCTAGTGATTTCAGCATCCCATATGACTTTTGAAAAATGAAAACCAACTACTATTCTATGATTTTTATTATAGAAACAGAACTTGGATTCCAGTAGATTTGTGTACTTTATTTATTTAATTTAATATTATCAGAAGAATGTCAAACACATGGGCAATTCTGGTAGACATCATGCACAGTTGTTTTGGCTGCTTTTATTTGCACACTACAACTTTGTTTAGTTTACAATATTTTTGTCGTTTAAATATTAGTTTTTGAGCAAAAATAATTGTTGGGATATTAATTTCTGAATAAAAGTTAATTGTTTTGATATAATGATAGTATGGTTTCGTTCAGAAGTTGAAATCCGAGCACTAAAATGGGATGAATTGATTGTTTGGATATAATGATCGAAATCCGAGCACTAAAATAGGGTGAATTGATTATTTGGATATAATGATAGAATATGGTTTCATTCGAAAGTTGAACTAAAATGGGGTGAATTGAGAATTTTTGTGGTGTGCAGATAGAATCTCTCATCCTTTCGTTATTCTTATGTGGAGTAAAATTATATACTTTACTCATAAACTTTTATTTGAATTTCATTTTGGTTTAACCCTTGTTTTAATGTGGTCTTTCGGTCATATAATATTAAAAAAATAGACAGAAAGTGATCGCGTGAGCACGTTTTAAGGACATTAAAGGAAAAAAGTCATACATTTTTGTTCTCTAAGGCCTCGTTGGGAACATGTTATTTTAGTAACTTTTTGGTTTTTTGGCTAAAATATGAGGTAAAAAAACTAGTATGTTTGGAATGATTATTTAGTTTTTTACGAAAAGATATGCAAAAAGTAAAGAAAAAAAAGAATCTTTGACTTTTTGGTATAGGTTCTAGATTTTATGATTTTTTTTAGTAACTTTTTGACTCTTAGGCTAAAAGTGTTGCATGTCAAACGAGGCCTAACTTTCATGTAAGTTTGATTTTGGCCTTTCCTGTTTTATGTTTCCTTCAAAATTTAAAAGGTGGGGTGATAGAAGTTGTCTACATTGAAGCTTATTGTAAGTTAAAAATATAGGAATTGTTTGGCAACTTACTTGTTTAACATATTTATTGTTTTTTTTATTTTTTTTGGTCACATCACTTCTTTATTTTTCTGTGAAATGGAGATTATGACTAGATATGGGCCGAGCTAATTTAGGCTTCGGTCGAGGTCTTAACTCAAGCAAAATTAGGCTGCTCGCTCGACCGGAGTCTTAGCACGGCCAAATGTTGGATATGCGTTAGATCGAGATCTTAACCCGGTCAGGTTAAGGACAGATGTTTGAGGTGCTAGCTCGGTCAGGAGATGTGCATTTCATCAAGAGTTGGACAAGATTTGTCCTTAGTAGACCAGGTTTAATCGAGTAGGAGCTTGTTATAAATTGGTGAGATCAGT